AAGTCGGGCGCCCTGTGACGGGGATTCGAACCCCCTAACCACCTGGCCTTTCTACATAGCAAACGAATGATTAGAACCTTTTTTTTTTTTACTCAATTCGTCACTCTTGAATGTTGAAGGTGGCAAAAAACATAAAATTACTCAATATTATAAACCCTCCTCCCCCACCGCTTGTGAACAATATAGAAACAAGTCGGTAGTTCAACGGTTAAAGGTCACCATCCGCTGGATGTCCTACAAACAGTTTCTACCACATGATTATTGAGAGAACGAGTAAATGATCCCTGAGATATAAAAATTTCGTCTTAAGTTCCAAACGTAAAACTGTTTGATGTTTATGTCAACTATATCGTGAAATATTTCATTATTTCAATCAAATTGGAAATATTACCAGAGCGTTTTATTTTGATTAGTTTTACACATAATTTAAACTGTATCGGTTTAGATAAATTCATATTTTAAACGTTATACCTAAAACATAAAATTATGAATATTTTAGTTTGAAATTTTATGTTCTACAAACTAAATATAAAAAATGTTGATTTTTCTATTTTTGGAGCATACATGTAAGCTGTCAATTTTAAACATAGTCTATTGTTGAAAATGTCTGTTTTTGTACACTAGAGGGCCTAACTAACATAGCTTTCGTTTTCGAGATAAGAGCCCTCTGTTTTTGTAAAAAAAAAATCTTCTATGTCTTTATTTCGAAAGTCAAGTATATTGTTAAACCTAAGCCTTTATCAATATTGGATTTTGTGGATTTTATGATCAAATATATATAAATCACCGTTGTCAATCTGTAATTTAGTTTTGTTTGTTGACAAGCGCAAAGCTCTGTGTAGTGTGGGTATCGAACACAGATTTTTAGCGTGATAAGCCGTCAGACTTGCTGCTGAGCCAAGTGGTGGTCTTAAATGGTTTGTTTTGAATTTCGCGCAAAACTACACGAGGGCTATCTGCGCTAGCCGTCCCTTATTTAGCAGTGATAGACCAGAAGAAAGGCAGCTATTCAACATCATTCACTGCCAACTCTTGGGCTGCTCTTTTACAAACAAATATTGGGATTGACCGACACATTATAACGCCCTTCCAGCTGAAAGGTTGATTATTTTCGGTGAAGAGAATTTGAACCCACGACCTCCAGACTGCAAGTCGGGAGCCCTAACCACCAGGTCATTTACCACGTGTTGTCTCTAGTTCTGATTATATGAAGCATAAAAATATAAGAAAAAAAAACACAACATAACTGAACCGGTTTAGATTTTTGTAGCCTTAAAAATAACATCTTTAAGCGTATTGTAATATGTCATTCTGTAAACATATGTATATTACAGTTTTTCGTAACTGGCAGTGGTTTATTCGAATGCGTATAAATGAAACCTATTATATTTCAAAGTTTGATTTTAAACACGCCAATCTAAGACTTACAGAGAAATAAATAATAAATTCACGCTGTAACATCACTAAAAAATACGTTTATTGTTTATGTATATTTCATTTTGTCAACATCGTACAATACGCAATATTTTACACAATGAAGAACAATAAATTATTTTTAAATACAACAATACGTTTTCCACACTTTTATGTTATCAATAAATATGGCATTAATAAAGCGAAATATTAACAAGTAAAATATTGCATGAAAAACATTTAGTCACTAATAATAGATAACGGACGTTGAACCATCATCAACGTTGGTTAATTATGACAGGACAATCCTCGAGCATGTTGAATAACCACTAATAATGGTTAATTTCACCAATACGTATGTTAAACAACCACTAATAATAGTGTTTTTTTTACAATTGGCGAGCTAAATTATTTCCTACCCTAAACATAGAAACTTTTTTCTACAACTAAGACCCGTTAACAGTATTTCTAACATAAAATTCGCGAATATTGGTCACACCGTTCACGTGTGCCTTCTTCGTTATGAAATGTGTATCTTGGGCACCTTTACAATCTACCGGGCCATTCAGCTTGTTTTCTCGGGAATCTTTCCAATCGACCGGGTTACTCAGTTTGTTTTCTAAGCCCATGTGATTTTGTGGAGCTAAGCCTAAACAAGCTCGTAAGATATTTTCAATACATGACCGCTGTCTGAACAGGGAGTTCACCACGGGGGCGCCACGTGGTACCAAGGAGGCCTTACACAGGTAACTTAGAATAGACAGGACGTTGTTGAAAGACTGTAACTTTAGAGATTCACCTACACGGAAGGTAATCCTCTGACACAGCTCTGTCAGAATGACCAGGTCAAGAATAATCGGACTAGCCAGCAAGGAGTCTTCACAAGTGTTATGGACAACAATAGTGTTATGACCTCCCATCATGATCTCTGACGTGTACTCGTCCATGGCGCGTTTACTGTCACCGACGTAAGGAACATATTTAATGACAACCTGTAAAAAGTCAGACCATAGTTTGTTCAGAAGTTCTTCAATTCAGTAGAGCTTTCCTCCTTGTTCATTAGTTAGGATTTTACATCAACAACTTAGAAATTGTAAGTTTTAATTTTACATTTACTATTAACCAGTGATGTAAAACAATATGGTAATCGTAAAGTGTTTCATAACAATGTTATTGAAATTCTAACACATTTCTGAACCTCTATAATACTAACTTGAAAACAAAATATTTTACTGTTCATTAATTCTGTTGTTAATACTGGAGAGGAACGTAAAAATATTATTACAATAAACCGACAAGAATATAAACAACATAAACTGAATTTAGTGAAAATATTTTTTGTTTGTTTTAAAAGCACGATTTTATCTGTATCTTGTTATATTTCACGTATAAAATAGACTTGGTTACATAGAAAATGCAGACTTACACAGTGGTCAGGCTTTTCTCCAGGTTTGTAGTTAAGCATCCTGAAACCTTTCGTTTTCTGACGACTTTAGTGCTCCTACATAAACGGGTCGCCCCAGAACACATTCGTCCCCGGCTGTATTGATCTGGCTGAACAACGCAAGGTTTTTATCGGAGGAGATGACTTTAAATCTGGTCAGACCAAGTTCAAGTCTGTCTTGGTGGACTTCTTGGTGAGTGCAGGGATCAAACCAGTGTCCATCGTCAGCTACAACCATCTTGGAAACAACGACGGCAAGAACTTGTCTGCTCCTAAACAGTTCCGATCCAAGGAGATATCTAAGAGTAATGTGGTAGATGACATGGTGGAGTCCAACAGGATCCTGGAAAGTAAACTAACACGGGTATACATTATAGCTATGTGTGTATTTCAAATGATGTTAAAGGGGGTGGGGAGGTAACAATGGGACTACTGTCACAGCCACCACCATAGCCAACAGGTTCGGTATTACTTGGATGACAAAGGACGGCCTTAAGAAACCCAACTACTTCGGATCACTGACCCAAGCATCTACCGTTTGCCTTGGGTCATCTCTGGAGGGAGACGTTTACATCCCGATGAAGGATGTCTTACCAATGGTCCATCCTGATGACATCGTTTTTGACGGCTGGGATATTTCATCTCTTAACCTGGCCGAAGCTATGGAACGAGCTCGTGTGCTGGACTTTGACCTACAGAGACAGCTCAGGCCTTACATGGAGAACCTGAAGCCCCGACCTTCCATCTACGACAAAGACTTTATCGCATCCAACCAGGAGTCCAGGGCCGACAATATCATCCCTGGAACCAAGAATGAGCAAATGGAGCAAATCAGGAAAGACATCCGGGACTTCAAGATGAAAACGGGAGTAGACAAAGTTATTGTTCTGTGGACTGCTAACACCGAAAGGTTCTGTGATGTTAAACCTGGACTGAACGACAATGCTGATAATCTCATGAAATCCATTAAGATGAACAATCCTGAGATCTCGCCTTCCACTCTCTTTGCTGTAGCCAGTATTTTAGAAGAGGTGAGTTTCTTAGATAATCAGTGGAACATCTTTCTCATTCAAGTAATTTTGGTAAAGTAATGTCGTTCTGTTATTACATACAATCATATTTAGTTGGTCCTTGTTGAATAAATACTTAACCAACATCACTCCTAACTTAGGGACTCGTCTTTTGGTACGGAATGTGAACTTGGTGGTGCGAGGACAAACCTGTCATAAGCACAAGGTTTTATTAGCAATAATTGTTTTAATGGAACACAGTTAAACAATATTTTGTTACAAAAGTTTTTTGTTAACAGAATTGTTTTAAAATGTTAAACCTTACCTTGTATATACCATCTTCTATGCTAACGTCAGTTGTTTCGTACGTGTAGACAGCCTCTATTACTTCATCAGCGTAACGAACGTTAGGACTCTGAACGTGAACTTGTGCCATTAGTTTGTTGTTTAATACCTGAATAAAAAATAAGGACAACTTACCAAAGTGACGAAATCATACAAACTACTATTAAACACCACTAAATCCGTTAGGGATTGTGTCAACATTTATAATTTATGAGTACAGTTCAAGTCAGTAACTATACTGTGATAATATAGTAAAGTTAGATACACAGAAGTAAGATATGACCAAATCTTACCTCACTGAAACTTGTGAAAATTAAAGTTTAAGCCAAGTATCACAATATAGTGTAACAGTTCTGCGGATGTGAGTCAGTCAAATTAGACCAAACCTATATTATAACCTAAAATTGTGTTTGGACTCGTATATATATAGATATCCTGCAAGCGAAGAACTCGGACTATTCTAGAACGGTGACTTTCCATCACAGCACAAACTACACGCAGTTGGCTCGTCTCTGCCCATGGTAGTTTTTGATTGGTTACTTTTCTGGTCGTTACCATTGGGAACTTTTACGGAATTCATTTGAGTCACGTAGACAGAATATGACGTTTTACTGATTGTTCGAGAATATAATAAAAACAAATGTCGAGTTTTATTTGGAAATTATAAAATTTCACGTTTTAACTAATTAAAAAAATACGCAAAATTGTAAAAAAAATCACCTGCAAAGAAAATAGAAATATGTACAGATTTAGGTACAGATAAATGTATAAATATGATAGTTACAACTTATAGCTATTGTACAGATTTAGGTACAGATAAATGTATAGATATGATAGTTACAACTTATAGATATGTACAGATTTAGGCACAGATAAATGTATAAATATGATAGTTACAACTTATAGATATGTACAGATTTAGGTACAGATAAATGTATAGATATGATAGTTACAACTTATAGATATGTACAGATTTAGGTACAGATAAATGTATAGATATGATAGTTACAACTTATAGATATGTACAGATTTATGTACAGATAAATGTATAGATATGATAGTTATAACTTATAGCTATGTACAGATTT